TGGATACATGGAAGCTTAATGCCAACAAGTCTTATTTTTAACCCTTATTTTAACCCTATTAATCTAATTTACCATCACAAACTAAAGTCTATTCTGTTACTTCCATAGCTACTCTAATGGTTAGCATCTCTAAATGCTAAACGAATGCTTCTGTAATTTTAAAAATTCTTCTCAGAATGAAAAACCTCCTGCATTTGCTACTGCTGCACATATATCTGCAAGCATTACCTTCTTCTGATAACTTAAAATATGGTTAATATTTTTAAAACTTCAGATCAGCTACACTACAAACAACTAACACCTCACACATTAAGCTGAATAATTGTCTTTCAAGGAGCTATTGTTTTTTAGCACTAGAATGATACTTGTCTGATGAAACCAAAACAACACTGGTTTTGATATAGTAACACTGCAGCCTTGCTTGCCTCAGCCACATCCCTTCATAAAGCACTGAAGCATAACGATAGATTTAATGCAAGTCAGCATGATGGCACAAGTTGCTGAGTTCTTTAAATAGAGTAATTGGAATCTGGAGTAAAATTCGAGGGCATTTAAGGAGCCAGTTAGGTTTACTGAGGTTCAGATTTTCTAAATGCAGCAGAGAAGGAAGACAGGAGCATGTCCTACCCTTCCTTGTCCTCTGACAATCCCTGCTGGGATGGCACGTATGATTTACATCACAKGGTGATGCCAAATGAGGCAAATGAAAGCTCTGCCCAGCCCTGAAGCCACCCATTTGAAGAGAGAGCTGTGTTTTTTTTGTTAAAATCTCCAACACGATTCTCATAGCAATGTGACCTCTCAGTGGCATTTCAGTCAGGACTGAACAAGAGCCTGTTGAGGCTTGTGATTTACACAGATTGTTTGCAGGATGTTTTCCACATCCTGCAGTGTCTTAACATGTTCAAACCATTTAATGTGCCTGACCATAACACAGGTAGCTTCACAGAGAGCTTTCCTTCATTCATTATCTATACTATGACTTTTTAGTGGGACTTGTCTAACTCTGGCATTTTTGGTAATTGTGATTTCAGTGCATGAGCTTTGGTAAACCTCACTAGGTAAGCCATGCCCAGTTTCAAGCCAAATGAACCTCCAGGACACATCTAATCAATTCATTTCAGTTGTACATTGCTCTTTTTTCTTGAATTTGCATATTTCAACTGAAACTTGATTGGAGAATCTGGGAGAACTTACCTTAAGAGATTTTTTTGAACTAAATTGATGCAACAATACATGAAATACATGAAATTCTCACTCTGTATGTAATTCCATGCATTACCTCAGTTTCTAGGTCCAGGGGTATGGGGCAAGCAACCAAATCCAGTCCTGCCCTGAAAATTATTGAATGCTGTTCCCTTATCCTAGCTACCTGTCTGATGGACTGATTGGACAAGACTAAAATATTGCCAACATCCAATATTAAAAAAAGTGKATCCATCTTTGGTTTGTATTCAGGTTTCTGTTGAATGCAGTGAAAAACTTCATTATCAGAAGCCAGAACTCTAGACCTAAATTATCTGTTAATAAGAAAGCAAACGATAAATCCCCAATATTTCAAATTAAATTAATATTGCATTTTAATAAGAAATAATGTTTTTATTTATATGAAGCAGGAAATAAATTTAAAATAAAATATGCAACCTAAAACCATGCAAAATGGTTTCATTCTGAAAATATCACGGGTCTGTTCATATTTTCCTTCTCTGATTTGTTACAGTTACAATCAATGCCAGACAATGTTGYATGTGAATAACATCTTTTAAACAGACTAGAGTACTTATGAACACTGAAGGGCTTTGCACACTATTTCCCAGTTAATTTTAGAAATACATGATTAGAATTTTGAGTGCCAGTGGAAAAAAAAAGCTGCATAAAGCCAGACAATAATATTAACACAAAAATTTACACAGGCTTTATTCATCAATTGAATGACTACACACCCAAATKATATCAGCAGAGATGTTTGCAAATATGTCCATTAAAACCACGTTTTAAAAACTGCACGTATCCTATGGGGGAATGTAGCAATGTTCTTCCTTATTTTTAGTTTATAATCAAAAACTCAGATTCTTTGCTTTGTGTTAATAATCTGCCCTGCCATCCTCTGCTGTCTGTGACTGTCACTGTGTCTGATAGCTCAGCTCCAGGTCCTGCTGCCACCAGCACCTCTACCTGCCATAAAAAGCACATTGAATGCCGTGTGTCATTGCTGATTCAGATGTATTTTTAGTTTGTGTACTGCTACAGTAATCTGCATTAATGAACTGGATGAATTGTGTTTTTGAAGAGAGGAAGATATAACAGCAGGGTTTTAGAAAAAGATTTAAATCTRTTGGGGCTGCAGGTGATGTGGCTACAGATGTTACTGTGAATAGCATGATAGCCTTGCAAATTTTTTTCTCTTCCTAATGTCCCTAATACTTATTGGTTGAAAAGGAAACAGCGAGACAAATTTTCCTATTTCTTCTGTGCACAAATGTGTGCTTGTATTTCAAAAAAAGAAGCAATGCAGAATAACCAGGAAAAGAAAATTAATATAATTCTAAGCACATTGAATTARAATTGCTAATCTGAGCATAGCCTGGGATGGTTTGCGTTACAGTTTTTATAGTCATGGTTGGCTTTGTACTGAAGGTCATGCCATAATGTTATTATGGTTGTTTATGTTTGTGTAGAGGAGAATCTGATGTGTCTCAAAGAGGTTCTTTCAGGCCATTGCTGTACATAATCAGTTGTAACTGCAGCATTTCCTCACCAGCCCTCTCCCTCGTTGCTTATTTTTAAAGTTAGGAAGGAAGCCCCAGAAGACAAACACATCTCTGCTAACGAGTAAGGAATGTGTTCGTGGAGTTTCTGTTCCTCTCTGGCAATTATAGGAGTCCTGYTAAAAAAGAAACAGGGCAGAAAAGGAGAAAGTCAGGGTGCCGGGTAACGTAATCACCTGCTTGTTTGTCTTCTCCAAATGTGATGTTAAAATTCTAATTCAGTTTTCTGTCTCTGAAGGAATTAAGACTAATGCTTCTCCTAAGCCTATCTTGAAAATTTAGGAGGTGCTGAAGCCAGGAGCTTGCTCTTGATGAGTGGATAAGTWTGAGAATAAATACAGACCTTTTGGGTCCATCTGCAGTCACTCCTGACAGTCATTAGGGTGGAGCAGGCAAAGATCTCTCTGTGGATGCTGCATCTGCATTTGCATGTGGCAGAACATGGCAGAGGGGAAGGACAGATACAGCCATGCAAAGAATTGCTTAGAGGAGACAGGCCTGATGTCTTCTCAGAGTGTTTGATTCAACAAGTTCAAATAATAAAGCTTAAAAAAATTTTAGATTAACTATTTATGCCTAGGTGCTTAGGTTTAGACTGATCAATAGATAAACTGATACATTGTAGTCCATAATAGTACACACTTTTAGTGTTAGACATCTTGGACAGCTGAGCACAAAACAATTMTTGTGAGGTCCTGAGCTTCTATAAGCCCATCTCACCAGCCTTTTTGCAATCATCGTTTTGAGTTTCCTTTTGAGAAAATGGAACCTTCAGGAGCATTAATGAGAAATGGAACCTAACTTAAGACATACAACTCTATGATTTTTAATTAGCCCAGAGGTGCAACGACTGTGGCTCCTGCTGAATTGTAATACCTTGTAATTGGTGAATTTATGGTCATAGCTCCCAGATTTCTCTGATTTGAAAATGTGGACATTGCCATCAACTTACTTACAGTGATGGTGCATGCTTCTTCCTATCTTCAGTCAAACACAATGCCATTGCTTTGTTTCCTTAAGTAAATGCTGTATGTGAAAAYTAAAGACATTTTCAGTACCACTGGCATTTCCAGTAGCAGTTTTCCAAATACCTCTGGCATTTCAAATTGATTCATTTCCAGCAATAGACTAATTGCATTCCTTCAGCCAATACTGCAATAGTCTGTGCTGCAGAGATAATATGTAAAAGCACAGTTTCTAAAGAAGGAAAAGAGAAGAAGCAAATTCTCTTGAGGACAGAGACATAAATGATGGTGCTTTATCATACATCACACTGCTGAGCTTGGAATAACTTCAACACTGTAGAACATTTGAAGCATCAGGGGAAAACTCTTCCCAGACACATTAAAGAACTGGGGTTTGTGGTATTTTTTTCCTTTTTTTTTCTTCTCTTTATAAATGACATTTTCTTGCATTTTGTTTTTGTACTTTGTTTTTCTAAAACCCTGCACCAAGAAGTGGGTGTGATTTTGTCAGCTCCCCCTTATCTTTGCTGCTACTCCAACCCATGAAGGCTGGTTCAGACCTCTCCGCACTATATGCCAGTGAATGCCATAAATGCACTTTTGAGTCTTATCAGATGAATGCTGTTATCAGACAAATTGCACATAAAAAACAGCCAAATGACAGAAATTGAGAGGATTTGAACAGCACAAAACCCAAAAGAAAACAAAACCTAAAAATTGCCACCCTTCGGGAGTGTAAATTACAAAATATCTAATGATGAAGAAGGCTACACTATATTTGTACGAATGAACTAGTAAATAGGTCAAATTCAATCAGATATCACATTTTCACAAAGCTATAAAACCTGATTTCCAGCCTGGCATGGTCCTTCATCTCAAACAGTGAATCTGCTGCATATAGAAAATCTTTAATACTCACGTAAAGATGACACCTGCATCTTGTCCTTCAAATTTGCTCCCATGTTTCACAGATGCATTTTTTTCTCCACACAGCCTTTGTCATCACAGCATGCAAACAGCAAAATTGCATTCATTAAGTGTGAAGTGGGATATCTGGATATATGGGATATCTTCACAAGTGCGTCCAGGTGTCCCTGACTTGTCCAATGAGAGTTTCTTTATGTGTACTTTGTGTCTGAGGATATGGATTTAGAGATGAGGCGTCATCCCCTTTTAAAGTGCATTTCCAGCCCTGTACTGTTTACATGCCTGTAAAAATTTTGCCTTGTATTTTAAGCACTTTTTCTCTTTTCTTTTCAATTTTCAGTCCTAATGCTCTTCCAGAAGAGCAGCCACATTCCAGCTCTCAGTGTGCCCCTCTCAACTGTCTCTCTAAGCCTCCTCCTTACCCCTAATCTTCATATGCAACGTAAGAGAAAATGTAAACAGAGTGGAGTTCATGCAACAAAGGTTGGGGTTGTTCCCAGCAAGCRGGTGGACAATCCTGCCTTGTTGCTGCATTGGCAAGTCTGGATTCATATCCCCTGCTCTGGCAACTGAGGGAAGGTTGAGAAGAAGAACACAAAGCACAGAGCCCAACCTATCGAGAAGACTTTTTATGGTTCCTTTGATTGTACTCAAACTGTGCTATCACAACTGAAGTGTAGTGAAATTTAACATCTCGACAAAAATGTTCCTCCCAGCTGCTTGGCTTTACCTCTGAAATGATGAGAGACTTAAGCCAATGTTAAAGAAATACGTTACAAAAAATCCTACCCTCACATCTTCTTAAGTTCAGCCATAGGAACCAGTTCAAATTTCCTTTTGTCTTCAAGGGTGTGATATTTATTTCTTACTTTATTTTCACCAGAATTTTGTGTTTATAAAAAATGTCTTCTTTTTTTTTTTTTTGGTGGAGTTGTATTTAACTGATWTTATTTTTTAAATCCAAGCAGAAATAGCTTCAGTGAAGAATGACTGTGTTAATATTAAAAAGAGGCTTGTTGCATTGGCCAGCATATGGCTAATTTTTATTGCACAAAAAATGTTGGAAATGGGTTGAATTGGAATGTTAACAATGACTGTATATTTTGCTGCTGCACTGATATTGTTTATGCACTTGTTTTTTTTTTAATTCCTATTACACTAGCTTCTGGTTTTGTTCTAGCTCTTCACTGAAAGATAATTATTAAGCCTAAGAAGGAGATGAAAGGATAATGTATTGATTTGTTTTCAGATGTTTGCTTGCATTGTAATTACACTTCTCGCATCATGAATCGGTGCTGTTTTTTGGGATTACTTTCTATTTGGTATCTGAGAAAGCAAATCTGAAATAAGTAAAATGCTGTGTGCTAAAGAAAAACATTCTTTCCTCCCGCTCCCACATTCAGGATCCTAGCTCGAGGCCTTACCAGGAAAGGCTMGTATGAGTGGGGAAGTCGTGTGCATTTCGTGTGAAGCGTTCTGGGGTGAAAGGACTCACGCAGGTAGGGTTGATGGTGTGGATCAAAGGCAGCAGGATTTTACTGTAGTGCATTTTTTCCTTGCCAAAAATCAACAGACACAGAACCTTAGCTCATGTCAGTTTATGACAAATACTCAGGTGATCAACACTACGCAGACTCTATCGCAACAGTGCACAGTGTTCCTAGTTAAAGATTCTTTCCTGGAAAAGCTGAGTAAGYCTGTTCTTCTTTCAAAAGCAGCAAGTTTCTGGTCTAAATCAAGGGATGGAGGAATTCATTTTGCACAGTAGCTGGCAGCAAGGCCAGTAGCTAAGCAGAGGGTTGTGGTTCAGCATCTGTGGGTCATCAGCTAGAGAAACAAGTCTGCTTGCTGCCTACCTGCCTGCTTSTTGGTAACTAGCAGGCTCCTTGTTTCATTAGGTGGCCTTAACTTATTTACAGAAGAAAGGCTTAGATATTGCCACTTGTCTTTATTCCTTCTCTGCAGCAAGTGTGTGACCYACAAGTGGGAAACACAGTACAGCCTGAGGTCCAGGGGAGCTGGGGAAAAAATATTGCTGCAGATGTGGCTGGAACAAYTATTTCATATTCTGCCTGAATCTGAGCAAAGGAAGTCAGATTTTTAGTAACAGTGCTTACCAAATGTTACAATACACAAAACATCAGCAGAGGAAAGAATCGGTGACCACTCAGTGTGCCTAACAAATCATTATTACCATAGTACCAAGAACAAAGGTGCTGTAAATAGAAATATTTTATGTCATCAACAAYGTCTGTCGTGTAACCTTGGCAAAGCAGCTGAGCTATTGTAACAAAACACTCAGAGATAGAGAAAATAAGAACAAACTGATACCCAGTCCTGATCAGATCAAACAGATAACACTGGGCAGTGTTTTGACTTTGGTTTCCACAGGGTTCAYGTGATTCCTCTCATACACTGTTACATCACTATTCAGTATCATACTGAAGCTGCCTGTTGTCTTGTCATAGAAAGGTCAAGTGCAACCTTGTTCAGCTCTATGATCATGTCTGACACTGAGTTTAGCTGCTGTTTTGATTTCTTTTAAGAAACCACAGTATTTTGTCTTGGGCAAATTCAGCCTTCAAAAAGCATCTCCAGATTCCTGACCTTGTCCGACTGTTGTTTGAATATCTGCATCCAACAAAGACAGCTGCTGTATATTGTTAATAAGAGAAGGAATTTGCATAGCTTTGAATGCAGTTACCACTGACTGCACTTGGAATAGTTTTTCCTATTTTTCATATCCAAATCAAAGGCGTTTTCCTGAACTTTAGTTAAGCAGTAATTCAGTGAAATACATTTCCTTGCTATGTAGATACAAATTTATTTGGGGAAAAAAAGTTATCAAGACAGTTTAGAAACATATGCAYGTCCATGTGGATCAAGAGTTCTGAAAGAACATTCAATGGTATAGAAGTTGTGGCCCTGTTTTRTAGAAATAAATTTTTTTATTCTCTTAAGTTTTAAATTTTTAATTTCTAAGTTTTCAATTTACATTTTTTATATGTAATAAAACTTAAGTGTTGGAAATGTAAGAGAACTAGAAACAAACCAACTTCAATGTACAAATGGTTGTAGTTAYTGCATTGTAAGTTACAAAACTATGTAGGTCCCTGGGACAACTTTTGTCAGTTAATCAGTATAAAATAAAATAYATACCTTGAACTTAAGATAAAAACCTCTTCTTTGATATATATTGATTGATAATGTAAAACTTTGTGAGAGATTTTGTAGGAAATATTTACATGCAGGCAAAACCAGAAACAAAAGCCTGGGTTTTTTTAAGGGTTGCAAAATATTACATTTTGCCCATTTTAAATTAGTGTATGTTGTGTTGATATCTATTCTGATTTTTAAGGGTTAAGAAAAAATTATACATRTATTTATATTGGTTGAGTATACTTAGAAGCACTGCAATTTGTCCTACTCAGTAAAGAGTAAAGGAAGAAATTAAAATCCTACTCTGACTTTTGTGTCTGAAACACAGCTTTTGTTCTCTATGATGGCCTTGAAATTTCTTTGRATTTGAAATAGCCTACTCAAAATAGGGTCATTTAGGTCAAAATAGGGTCATTTTGGTTTGGGTTTTATTTTCTGATGTATTGAAAAATTATTCCTTGTTCAGTGAAATGATCAGCTTCTGGAAATCCAGTTTATAGGAAATGTGTATGGAAAAAAAGGAAAGGAAAGAAACAGGAAAAAAAATCAAATACAAAGGGGAAAAAAGATGAAAAGATTGTAAAATGTAATAGTATGAAAAAATATATTTTCTATCAGAACATATACAGAGGTTTTACAGAAAGAAGACATATTACCGTTTTTCATGCTAATTGTATAGAATTKTCTGCCTCCTAAATGGAGGCAATAGTGATATTCTTTCTGATTGATCTGATTGTCAGGTTGGCATCTCTGTRCTTTCTCTATCCACATTTTTCACAGTAAAGTAATGTGATCATAGCTATATAGCAGAGTTCGTAAAATGAAACTGCAATTAACGCTGCAAGTTTTAATGCCAAGTTGATTTTTCAGTTGATTTTATTTTAAAAATATTATGAAGCTGTTAAGCCATTTGCCATATTAATGTGTGTACATAAAGGAGAATATGTTATGACATAGAACCTCACTTACAAAATATGACCTCACCTATGAAGGCTGCTCACCACACTTAGATTGGGAATACTGAAGTCAGTTAAATATTACTAAAATCTGTTAATAAAATCTGTTAATAAAATTTGACCCAGTCCTTATCCCACTGGAAACAACATCCAGAGTCTGGGCCCTAATTTTGTTACCAACTTTCTCGTTCCTCATGCAATGCCAAAATCAGTTCCACTTACAGCTGAACTGATAATCATCATCATAAGGTATAGATTGCATCAGCCTTTCTGAGGTCTGTTCCTTTCTTTGGCAGAAGATGCATATCCACTGAGGTTGCAGTAAATTTCTTTCTTTTGTTCCTTGGAAATCTTCATTTGAGAATGGCAGGAACTGACATTTTACCTTTGAAGTATGATAATTGCTGTAGTTACCTCTTTAAAAATCCCACCCTTCATCTTTTCTTCAGTTTTCCTTTGCTGTGTGTGCAGTGAGTCTGAAAGGGATATATACTATTCAGGCTTTTTTTAACCCTTAAGGTGGTTTTTTTTTTAGTATAATTAAGTGGAAAAGAAATAAAAAAGCAATTGCCTTTCGCCTTCAGGCACAAATACATCAAAATATGCAATGGGAAATGTGTGCATGACATTGTTAACATCGTGTAGCTTTTCCATATCCATAACTAAGCTAGAAAATTCTTATTTCTTGTATGATACGCATATTCTTCTTGCTAGAAGGGCAAGTGAACTATCACAGAGTGTCTGTATCTTTCATTGGGAGGTGCACAGCTTAAATCCTTATTGGTTTTTAATCTGTTTCCTGTGGAGTTCTTGAAAATCCCCTTTGTAAAATGTAATGGCAACCAAGGGACAAAGTGACAAAAGGTAAAGGAAAAATCCAATATTTCATTACTGGAGTTAATATGTRGGCAGACTCTGGGTGATAGAGCCTTGTAGTTCAAAAATGTCTYTCTACAAAGCTTTCTATTTGTTTTGATTATCTTTGATTATCRATATTTGTTTTGATTATTTTGATCTGCTGTAAAAGAGTGGATAAGAGTGTATGGTTTTTCTCAGTGTTAGTAATCTGAGTTTTTATTGAGTATGTGGTTACCTGATTTCAAAACTCTTGTGGAAAAATCAGTAAACAGAAGCTTTTGATAAAAGTTTCAAGTAGACTGGCTTGCTAGCTAGTTGGTATTTTATCAGCTATGAACAAGAAATAAGAGTAATCTAGCTTATTTTATTATTATTTCTCCTGTTCACAGATATGGCTATGTGTGCTATGCCAGTGGATAAATAAAGTCCATTTTATTACTTACTGCCCTATTGATTTTCAGCCCTGTGGTTTGACTGTTAAAGGGTTAACTAACTTGATCCTTTGTAAACAATTAAAAAAAAAAAAAAGAAAACTGATGTTTTGTGACTTTTGTAATCTATTGAATGTTTCCATTTGCATGATGTTCTGTATCTAATGAACCATACAGATTGCTGTGTTCCTTTCAAAAGAGTTTTAGCATTGGTGGAGTTTGTGACAAACACAAATTTG